CCTCCTCCGTAAGATGTTTGTCAAAGCTTATCACTTTGAATCTTAGGTCATCTGTCCTGATGTCATATAATACTGCTGAGTATGGAATGTTGTGTGATATTCTTACCTGTATAACACCTTGCGATGATATGACATATTAAAGCACTATACGATTGCAAGGTGTGGAATAGTTGCCACACTCACACATTGCTACTTTTCATTTTCTAAATTCTTCTCCCATCTTTATCCTGTTGAATTCCAAGGATTACATTGTGCACAATCATCAGTGAATATGTTTCTTTTACAAGGCTGTGTCCTAATTGATATGTGTAATAGTACAATTGTTAAAATTCACAAACCTGATTTGATTTGATTGATTTTATTGTCATGTGTACCGAAATGCAATGAAAAGCTTTGTTTAAGAGCAGTACAGGCAGATCACAGCAAGCAAAGGTTGTACAGATCAAAAAGACTTAGAGGCATACAGGCTACATTGCAGGTTACGTTATTTGAGGCTTGAGTCCATTCAACAGTCTGATAATGGCCAGAAAGAAGCTGCTTGTGCGTGTGTTCAGGTTTCTGTATCTTCTGCCTGACGGAAGACGTTGTAGGAGATCATTACCAGGATGCAATAGGTCTTTGATGATGTTGGCTGCCCTTCCATGGCAGCGAGCTGTGTAAATAGAGTCCATGGATGGAAGGTTGGCTTCCATGATGGTCTGGGCTGTGCACACCACCTTCTGTAGTTTCTTACGGTCCTGGGCAGAGCAGTTGCCGTACGAGGCCGTTATGCACCCAGACAGTATGCTTTCAATGGTGCATCTGTAGAAGTTGGTGAAGGCCCTTATGGATGGGAGGAATTGTGCAGGTAACTGGTATTAATGTAAAAATCCCAGTATTGATAGCTATAAATCCAGTAAACAACTTCTGAACCACCTACAACGTATGTACACCTTCGTTAAAAAAGGAGGCCAAAACTACATACACAGTTCAAGATGTGGTCTCATCAAGGCAGTGTACAACTCAAATATAGCATCTAACCCTTTCTTAATAAAGAGTGGCATTTTTTTTATTTATTCAATTTGTGTGTTGTGGGCATCGCTGGCTGGCCAGCATTTATTGCCTATCCCTAGTTGCCCTTGAGAAGGTGGTGCGCTGCCTTCTTGAACCGCTGCAGTCTTCCTGCTGTGGGTTGACCCACAATGTTATTAGGGAGGGAATTCCAGGATTTTGACCCAGTGACAGTGAAGGAATGGTGATACATTTCCAAGTCAGGACGGTGAGTGACTTGGAGGGGAACTTGAATGTGGTGGTGTTCCCATGTATCTGCTGCCCTTGTCCTTATAGATCGAAGTGGTCATGGGTTTGGAAGGTGCAGTTTAAGGATCTTTGGTGAATTTCTGCAGTGCATCTTGTAGATAGTGCACGCTGCTGCTACTGAGCGTCGGTGGTGGAGGGAGTGGATGCTTGTGGATGTGGTGCCAATCAAGCGGCTGCTTTGTCCTAGATGGTGTCAAGCTTCTTGAGTGTTGTTGGGGCTGCACTCACCCAGGCAAGTGGGGAGTATTCCATCTCACTCCTGACTTGTGCCTTGTGGATAGATGGTGGACAGGCTTTCAGGATTTAGGAGCTGAGTTCCTAGCCTCTGACCTGCTCTTGTAGCCACTGCATTTATGTGGTGAGTTGAATTGAGTTTCTAATCAATGATAACCCCCAGGATATTGATAGTGGGGTTTCAGTGATGGTAACGCCATTGAAAGTCAGGGGGCTGTGGTTAGATTGTCTCTTATTGGTGATGGTCATAACCTGGCATTTGTGTGGTGTGAATGTTACTTGCCACTTGTCATCCCAAAACTGGGTATTGTCCAGATCTTGTTGCATTTGGACACAGACTGCTTCAGTGTCTGAGGAATCGCAAATGGTGCTGAACATTGTGCAATCGTTTGTCATGAAATGTATGCGATTTATATACGAACATTTTTTAATTTGGATTTTAGACTCATAGCATATGGATGGTGGGCTATTTTAGTGAATCAGTTTAGAAATGAACTAAGTCAGTCTTTCCAGAACCATGTTTTAAACAGTATGTGCCTCCTGGAGTGCAGTGTATTTTTTTTATATTATGGGCTTTGCAACCAAAGAGAAAAAAGATGTATTGAAAGACGTTAACTTGCTTTTAGTTTTAAAATAATCAAAGATTGAATTTTAGCTGAGGAAAACCTCGTTTGGTTAGCCTGGAGCAGATGTGATTGGGGTCAAAAACAAGTATAATCTCTTCTAGGAAAAGGAGGTTGTTCAGAGCAGTTAAGGAAATAAGATATTTCAGTCAAAGAGGGCACTTTGTGGAACTTTCAGACCAGGCCCATTTGGTTAGAAATCTGTGTTGGTTATTCAAGACTGAGAATGTTGAAGATTTGGTCTGCTTAGTCCTTACTTCGAAAGAAGCTCAAAGAATGCTCACTGGGCAGATTTCTGGGATGACAGCATTATCTTATGAGAAAATATTGAGTAGGTTGGGCCAGTATTCCTGGAGTTTAGAAGAGTCGAAGGTGATGGAACCATAGAAGATTCTGAGCGAGCTTGGCAGAATTGAGGCAGAGAGGATTTCTCAAGTCAAGGATTGTAGCAACCAAGTTGGAAAATAGAATTGAAGCCAAGTCAGATCTACCGAGATTTTATTGAATTGGCAAACAGGCTTAACGGGCAATTGTTTTCGGTTTTTTTTCATCACTGGTTAGGCCTTTAATGCACACCCCTAATTGTCTTTGAGAAAGTGATGGTGAACCATTGCAGTCTTTGGTACATAGGTCCATTCACACACTGATAGGAAGGCAGTTCCAGGTTTTATAACCTGTGACACACCAAGGGGACGTGAAGAGGTTCTGTCTTGTTGGACATGTTTCTGACCACTGATCAGCTCAAACCTGAAAATTGTTGAGGACTTGTTACATTTGGACATGGACTGTTTCAGTATGTCAGGAATCACACTCTCCAGTCATCAGTGTGAACAACCCCTCTTCTGACCTTAGGATGGGAAGAAAGTTATTGATGAAGCAGCTGAAGATAGTTGGGCCTAGTGTTAAATGCCAGAGGCTAAATGGTGGATAAACACAGTCCGGTCATACATTTTTCTAATTAAAGTTTTATTTCTAGTTCACACACCACAGACTCGAAACCTACTTGATTACTTTATGATCTGTCAAGTTCACCCCAATCGACCTATGAATAACATTATAACCTCTACCCTCCTTAGTTCCATTGGTTTTGTGCACCCTGCCAGGTTGTAATAAATAATAACATGTTCCCCTTTCTTCTTTCTAAAATTAACTAATATATGCAATAATAGTTTTTTAAAAAATCAAAAATATAAAATTCAATATGTATTCCCATTTGTTTTTAACATGCATTCAAATTGCAAACATCCTTTTTCCTGTATTTCTAATTCTTTCTTAAACCTTGCTCCATCCTTCATAAAGCAATCAAATAGGTGACCCATTTCAATTTTGAGATTTTTCCCTTCCCCTTTCAACGCAGTTGTTCTTACTTTTACAGTTCAGTTCTTTCATCCATGTCTGGACCAAGGTCATAGTGAGGTGTGGAGCTGACAGACCATGTCAGAAGCCAAACTGAGCAGGTTATTACTCTGTAAGTGCCACTTTACAGCATTGCTGACTCCCTCCATCACTTTGCTGATGACCAAGAGTAAACTGATAGGGGCGATGTGGTGGCTCAGTGGTTAGCACTGATACCTCACAGCACCAAAGACTCGTGTTCAATTCCACCCTCGGGTGACTGTCTGTGTGGAGTTTGCACATTCTCCCCGTGTCTGCGTAGGTTTCCTCCTACAGTCCAAAGACATGCAGGTTAGGTGGATTGGCCATGCTAAATCACCCATAGTGTGCTGGGATGAGTAAGCTAGGTGGATTAGCCATGGGAAATGCAGGGTTACAGGGATAGGGATAGGGGTTTGGGTCTGGGTGGGATGCTCTTCAGAGGGTCAATGTGGACTCAATGGGCTGAATGGCCTGCTTCCACACTGTAGGGATTGTATGATTCATGTCCAATCAGTGATGGGCCACGTTGGATCTGTCCTGCTTTACGTGGACAGGATGAACCTAATTTTCCGCATTTGCCAGATGCCAGTGCTGTAACTAAACAGGAACAGCTTGGCTAGTGACACAAGTTTAGAGCTATTGTCAGAATGTTCTCGGGACCCATTGCTTTGACAGTTTCCAGATTTCCTTTCCCACAGGAAAGTAGCGAACGAGATGGGATTTTACGACAGTCAAGTGATAATTTCATGGTCACCTTTACTGAAACTAGCTGCCTGTACGGCTCAATACCTGGTGGTCTGTCTGGTTTAATTTCTTTCCTTAGACTTTGTGGTGGGCTGAAATAACTCAGTGGCTTGTTAATCCATTTTCAGAGGATAGTTGAGAGTCAACCACATTGCTTAGGTTCTGGAGTCTCATGTGGACCAAAGTGGCAAATATTCTTCCCTACGACGGTTTCATGGTCACTATCAGGTTAGCTTTTATAATTCCATACTTGTTAATTGAATTCAAATTCAAATTGAATTGAAGAATTCAAATCATCTGTCATGGTGGCTTTCAAACCCATGTCCCCAGAACCTTAGCTGGGGTCTCTGCTTCAGTAGCCCTGAGACATTACAAGTACACCTCCCTGGATATATACACCTCCCCTGGAAAATGACATTCTGGATGTTTACAAAAACCGAAAGAACTGCGGATGCTGTAAATCAGGAACAAAAACAAAGTTGCTGGAAAAGCTCAGCAGGTGTGGCAGCATCTGTGAAGGAAAAGAACAAAGTTAACATTTCAGGTCCAGTGTTCTGAGTAAGGGTCACTGGACCTGAAACATTAACTCTGCTTCTTTTTCCTTCACAGATGCTGCCAGACCTGCTGAGCTTTTCCAGCAACTTTGTTTTTGTTCTGGATGTTCACACCTTGCCAAAGTGGCTTTGCATCAATTCTACTCCCCTGTTTTCTAGCTGTCCTACAATGGATCCACAATCCAGCAATGCTCTAATTCAGAATATTGTGCCGGATTTTCTAAAGAATGGCGACCACATGCAGATTGCCACCCTGCCCCTTTCATCAGCGATGAAAGAGCTCCACAAGATTCCGGTCAGCGCTCTTTTAGAAGTGCGGAGTTGTGCTTCCATTTTGACAGGTCCCTCGTAGAGTTGAACAGTTGCAGGGGAAGATAAACCTTGTCCCCTTTTCATTTACAAGCAGTAAGTTGCTCCCTTCTGTAATTTCAAGGTCCAGCACCACAGACACTCCTGTGAAAGGGTTGGTATACCAGTGTTAGGTTATGGTGCTAGGGGAGGTGGCACTGGGTGCAAGGTGGGTAGATGACAGGAATCAAGATATGTGATGTGCCAGGTGGGTAGGGGTAGGGTTCTGAGGGTGTTTAGGGGGAAGGCAGAGGCAGTTCTAAGGTGCTGGGGGCAGGTAACAAACAGGTAAAATAAAGGGTAACAGTGAGTCATATGCAGGTGGCAAGAGGGCCAGGTAATGGAGTGTTTGGGGTATAGGGGTGTGGGTGTGGTGTGAGAGAGGTTGGATGTTAGTTGAATAGTTACTCAGGTGTTAAACTAGACTTTTAATAGTCCTAACATTTCCTGCGCAACTATTTTCCTGACCGCAGTGGAACCGTCTTAATTCTCTAATGTAAGTTTGGACTTTCACAGAGTTCTGGGAGCACAGGAATTGTCCAACAGAATCTACAATTCCTTTGGAGCCTGCTACGGCTGAGATTCTGCAGGGTCCCCATGAACGACTCTTAGATACCAACAGAAACAGGTATCTGGCCATCAGAAAATCCAGACCATCCTTCTTCAGTGGCAGCTTGCCCATGTGGTCCCTGCTCCCAATGTGTGAAACATCCTCCAGCACTTTGCAAAACCCACATTTGCTCCATTTCTGCCCTCCAGTGTATTACCACTACCCCCAGTGGCTGTCGTGCTTTTACCTCTCTAGGTCCCAGACCTCCCACCTCTCTGTCCTCCTCTGAACCACTTATTAAAGCTCATCTCCTAGAAACCTTTGACCATCTGCCCTAATGTCACCTCACATTGGCTCGATGTCAAGTTTCATATGATGGGTTCTCCTACAAAACACCTTGAGATGATTTATTATGTTAATAAAACACTATAAACACAAAGTATTTGAACAGTGGCCGAGGTTATAAATCAATCACACTTTACTTTCAGTCATAATTTTTTCTCCCATCTTCATGCCAGTGAATCTCAAGGAGTGTTCTGTGAGGGAAAGTCCATTAATCTATTTCTTTCCGAAAGGCTGAGTCCAAATTGGCTTGTGGAATATCAGAAAGCTTCAGGTTCTCAAAGTTGGAGATCCTCCAATGAGCTCTTCCTTTCCTCTAACCCTCAGACGTGAATGAATGTGTAAGTGGAAGCCACGACTGTCACAGCTTGGCCTCCTGTTTCAACAGCCCCGGCTCTTTCCAATGTGTGTGTGAGGCTGGTTACACTGGAGATGGGAGGAATTGTACAGGTAAATAACACTGACACTTTCACAATGACACCACTTTCCTCTCATGCTTCTATTTCTCACATTATTGTGCTTACTGCGAGTTTTAATTTGGACCTATTTCCCATCTATATTCATGAGTTTGCTGTTGGAGTTTACTGGGGAATAAGTGTTGAAGAACATATAAATATACAGCAGAGGGGTACAGGCAGATTGGGGGAATGGGCAAGATGGCAGATGGAATACAATGTGATGAATTGTAGAGTTATCCACTTTGGTAGGAAGTAGAAAAATAGATTTTTTTTAATGCAGGGGCTGAGAAATGTTTGCATTCAGCACGGCAGGAGCATACTTCTACTTCAGTCACAGAAAGTTAACAAGTAGGTGCAAGCAAGTAGGGAGGCAAATGGTAATGTAAATTTTTTGCTGCACCTGGAGTAGTGTGTGCAGTTTTTGATCTCCTTCTCTAAGGTAGAAGAGAAGTCAAGAAAGTGATGGTGCAGGCCTTTTCAGAATGAAAGTAATGAAGCGAATCCAGCACTCCAGGTTACAGTGCGTCAAAAGGATGTCTTCCCCACAGGGAGTCCAACAAAGGTTCACTGTGAGGAAGGAATGAGTTGACTAGACCTAGGTTCCCCAGAGTTTAGGTGATTGAAAGGTGATTTAATTGATGCAGACCTTTAATAGCTATAACAAATTCACTGTGGTAGATGTCAAAAGGACACGTTCTGTTGCTGGAGAGTCCAGAAGTAGCATGAGATAGTAATTACCAAACCTAGTAAATCAGGAAGAACATCACTCTGCAGAGAATGGCAAAAATATGGAACACCATTCCAGAGGGAATACTTGAAGAAGTGAGTATGCATGCAGTTTAAGAGGAAACTATACAATGAGAGGGGAAAAAAGGGAAAGTTTTGTTCTTAAGGTTACATCTAGTAAACAGAATGTGTTGAATTTGTGGGAGTGCAGACACCCTGCTAGATCAGATGGGGTAGATGGTCTGTTTCTTTGTTGCAGATTCTATGTAAAGCTTTGACTCACGAGCTAGGATGAATCTTTTTGTTGCTTGGGATTACTGACCAGTTAAAGCCTTAGTAGAGCCCTGGTGAAGTATGTCCTGACAGCCAGGGATTATTCCAGGTTCTCAATCGTCTGCTCACTCTCTGATTCACTGTTGTTTTATTTTTTAACGCTGCTTTCAGATGTTAACGAGTGTGCGGATCCAGCAATGAATCAGTGTGACCCAAACGCAGAGTGCCTGAACTCTGATGGTTCCTACAGCTGTGAGTGCAAACCCTACTACACAGGGAATGGGACACATTGTGAAGGTAAGCAGCAGGGTTCAGGTCCTAGCCTCCTCCTGACCATAGAACATGAAGATACACTGGGCTGGAGATCTACCCTTACTGCCTGGCAGGAAAGGGAATCCCGCAGATTCTGTATGATCATTCCCTCTGTTAGATCTTCTTCACTGCTGTCCACTTAGGTGATGCTGAAAGCTCTGGGAGCGCTATTTATTCCAACTGCACAGAAGGCTGTTGGAGACTACTGTGTTAGATGCAGGACTCATTAGGAGCAATGGGTGTTGTGTTGGTAATGGTAATGGATGGTTAAATCAGAGAATGATATTTTTATTCACTTGCGGGATGTGGGCATCGCTGGCTGGATCAGCATTTGTTGCCCATCTCTAGTTGCCCTTGAGAAGATGGTAGTGATCTACCTTCTCGATCCGCTGCTGTGGGTTGACCCACAATGCTGTTCGGAAGGGAACTCCAGCATTTTGACCCAGCGACAGTGAAGGAATGGCGATATATTTTCACGTCCAGATGATGAGTAGCTTGGAAAGGAACTTGAAGCGGGTGGTGTTCCCAGGTATCTGCTGCCCTTGTGCTTCTAGATGTAAATAGATATGGGTTTGAAAGCTACTGTCTTTGGTGCATTTCTGTAGTCCATCTTGTAGATTATACAGGCAGCTGCTACTGAGCGTCTGTGGTGAAGGGAGTGGATGTAGTACCAATCAAGCAGGCTGCTTTGTCCTGGGTGGAGTCAAGCTTCTTGAGCCTTGTTGAAGCTGTATTCATCCAGGCTGTCCTGACTTGTGCCTTTGTAGATGGTGGACAGGCTTTGGAGGGGTCAGGAGGTGAGTTACTCATTGCAGAATCCCTAGCCTCTGACCTGTTTTTGTAGCCACTGTGTTTGTCTGGCTAGTCCAATTGATTTTCCAGTCAATAGTCACCCCCAAGATGTGGATAGTGGGGTATTCAGTGATGGTAACCCCATTGAATGTCAATGGGTAATGGTTAAATTGTCTCTTATTGAAGCTGGTCATAGCCTGGCATTTGTGTGGCATGAATGTTACTTGCCACTTGTCGGCCCAAGCCTGGATATTGTCCACATCTTGTTGCATTTGAACATGGACTGCTTCAGTATCAGAGGAGTCACGAATAGTGCTGAACACTCTGTAATCATCAGCGAGTGTCTCCACTTCTGACCTTATGATGGAGGGAAGGTCATTGAATAAGCAGCTGAAGATGGTTGGGCCTAAGACACAAATCTACCAGGGCAGCTGCAGCATTGTAATTCCACTTAGCGAAAAAAATTAAGAAATAAATAAAATTCAGTTGAAGTGACCATGAAGTTGCTGGATTATTGTAAAATTTGAACCAGTTCATATATGTCTTGCAGAGAGAGAACCTGTAGTTCTTGCTCAAACTGGCTCTAAGTGACTCCAATCCAACATCAATGTAGTTGTCTCCTCACTGCCCCTCTGAAAATGCCTTAACAAACCATTCTGTCGGATTGAAGCCATAATGAGCAATTCATGAAAATGGTCTCCCCTATCTCAGGGCATCCGGGGTGGGCAATTAACTTCATGTTTTTCAAGTGAGTGTCAACAACCCAAGAAAGCATGAAAAAGAGATTGTGCCCCTTCTGTGTTTGATTTTCTCACCTCTATAAAGACTGTTCTAGATATTAAGATGGTGAAATAAGATCATTCAACAGAAAAATGGAAATCACTCAGATGATTTCTCTCTCTCTCACACGCACACACTCCCACATTCTCGCGCACACACAAGCGCACACACTCCCACATTTTCACGCACGCACGCGCGCACACACACGCACGTGCGTACACATGCACACGCACGCACACGCGAGCGCGCACACAAACACATGGGCCAACATTTTCTCCTTTTTGTTTCTAAGTATGGAGTTAAGTATCATTTACAGCAAAACACACTTCACCACCTCCAAGATGAAAGCTGTGAAATCGAGTGCCAATCAGCCAATTAAGTGGTGATCCAGTAGGATTCCTGGCTAATCATTTCTTGGGATATTAATGACCTGCCCCAAATGCCAAACAGAAGTCAGGAGCCCACTGTGAGCAGCAGGCATTATCCCAAAGGCCAAGGCTGCTGGTTGCTTAGCAACACTGAAGACCAGGAGTGGCAGGAAGTGAGTGATTTTTTTTTGGGAGGGGAGGCGAGAGGACACAGAATCTCAAGGTAGGGGTCACGAAAAGATTGATGTGCAAGGCAAACATGGAATTTCAGCTTTATACTGGTCAGCCATACCCCACCCATATGCCCGAATGCCCCCAGATCATAGAGTCATAGAGATATACAACATGGAAATAGACCCTTCGGTCCAACTTGTCCATGCCGACCAGATATCCTATATGAACCTAGTCCCATTTGCCAGCATTTGGCCTATATCCTTCTGAATCCTTTCTATTCATGTATCCATCCAGATGCCTTTTAAACATTGCAACTGTACCAGCCTCCACCACTTCCTCTGGCAGCTCATTCCATACTCACACCACCCTCTTGAAAAAGTTGTCCTTTAGGTCCTTTTTGGGTCTCTTTGTCTCGCCTTAAACTTATGCTCTCTAGTTTTGCACTCTCCCACACTGGAGAAAAAATCCTGCCTATTTACCATATCCATGCCCCTCATGATTTTGTAAACCTCTGTAACGTCACCCCTCAGCCTCTGACACTCCAGGGAAAATAGCCCCAACCTATTCAAGCCTCTCCCTATAGCTCAAACCCTCCAACCCTGGCAACATCCTCATAATTCTTCTCTGAACCCTTTCTAGTTTTACCACATCCTTCCTATAGGATGGAGTCCAGAATTGCATGCAGTATTCCAAAAGTGGCCAAAGCAATGTTCTGTATAGCCACAACATGACCTTCCAACTCCTTCACTCAATGCACAGCCCAATATAGGCAAGCATACCAAACGCCGCCTTCACTATCCTATCTACCTGCAACTCAACTTTCAAGTAACTATGAACCTGCACTCCAAAGTCACTTTGTTCAGCAATGCTCCCCAGGACCCTACCGTTAAGTGTATAAATCCTGCCCTGATTTGCCTTTCCAAAATGCAACACCTCACTTTTATCTTAGTTAAACTCCATCTGCCACTCCTTGGCTCATTGGCCCATCAGATCAAGATCCCGTTGTACTCTAAGTTAACCTTCTTTGCTGTCCACGACACCACCAATTTTAGTATTATCTGAAAACTTACTACCCATACCTTCTATGTTCACATCCAAATCATTTTTATAAATGACAAAAAGCAGTGGATCCAGCACCGATCCTTGTGGCACACCATTGGTCACAGGCCTCCAGTCTGAAAAGCAACCCTCCACCACTCACCCTCTGTCTTCTATACTCCATGTGATCTAACCTTGTTAACCAGTCTAACCATGAGGAACTCTGTCAAACGCCTTACTGAAGTCCATATAGATCCTGTCCACCACTCTGCCCCCTTTACTTCTTCAAAAACTCAATCAAGATGGTGAGATATGATTTCTCATGCACAAAGCCATGTTGCCTATCCCTAATCAGACCTTACCTTTCCAAATACATATAAACCCTGTCTCTCAAGATTCCCTCCAACAACTTGCTCACCACCCACATCAGGCTCACTGGTCTATAGTTCCCTGACTTTTCCATTACCACCTTTCTTAAATAGTGGCACCACGTTGGCCAACCTCCACTCTTCCGGCACCTCACCTGTAGCTACCAATGATACGAAGATCAAAGCAAGTCCAGGCCCCTACCCGACACCCTGGCAGGCAGGATGCCATGCTATAGCAGTCAGGACAGTTGCCACATTTTCCACCTTGCCAGGGACAAAGCTAACCAGACCGATGGCGAACTAAATGCCCTTAAGTGGTCATCATGTCACCAGTTATGGGCCTCAGGTGGCATGCTGGGAAGGTGGATCATGAGTCTTTCCACCCAGGGAAAAATGGGGTTGGGTATCTTACAGGTGCCAACTTGCCTCGTTCATTTGCCCTACCCAGCACCTTCCCTGCCCCCTCTGAGGGAAATTCTGCTCTCACCAATCAATTTGAAGCAAATCAAAAAGCGGCACAAATGGTTTTGAGGCTGTGGCAATGGAAATAGTTTATAATGTTTTCTACATCCTTCTGTCTGATGTGAAGGTTGGACTACAACCCGGTGTTGTGTGATTTCTGGCTTTGACCTTCTCTCCACACATTTATTTCAAGGCCCAGCAAGTTCTCTCCAAATGAAACTCCCATCAAGATGCCTTTTAAGACACACCTGCATGGACAGAGGCTTAATGCAGGTCATTCCCAATGAACTCAGTGGATGGAGTCATTTCCTGAGTGGAATACCCTGGAAACATCCTGGCTGGAGCACTGAGTGTCATCAAGCAAAGTGACTCAGCATCGGATTGAAAGGGAAACAGGGGTTGTGGGCCAAGGGGTAGCTCAAAATCAACCTCTGAGTTAGTAAGAACTGCAGATGCTGGAGTCACAGATAACGTAGTGTGGAGCTGGAGGAACACAGCAGGCCAGGCAGCATCAGAGGAGCAGGAAAGTTGACATTTCTGAAGAA